GAGGGTAAAATGTCGAGGGTCGAGGGTAAAATGTCGAGGGTCCGAGAAAAATGTCGAGGGTCCATAAAAAACTAAAAATCGTAAATTTGAAAAAAATTAAATGTCGTGAAATGTCAGAGGAAACTCAGAAATTACATATGGATAAATTCCAGACATGTTGTGACTTATTGTTTTTGTATACTTTCACGCCTCATTTACACAGCTTCCACAAATGCACCCGCAACCGCAAATAAATAGATGCCGGCTGATCGAGGTCAAGGTTAACTTTGTGGAAAGCGTGACTAAGCAAATTCGTCCATCGAAATATGGTTTTCTCTTAAGCGCCTAAATCTCGCAGTTTCTGGGTTTCCATCCACCGTGAAGGCATAACCAAAAAACTCGAACTGAGGAACAGCAAATAAAAAATGATTTCGCAACAAGAGATGCACTAACGGAGGGGCTTTTAGCAACGTCTGACAATAGATTGACAAGAAAAACGTACAAATTTTTGTTGTTTCAGTATTTCTTTTATTTTTATCGATGGTATGTTTGAAGATTTGTTGTCTCCGAATGCGAAAATATCAAACTTTTCCGAATAAATAATTTTCGTTTGTGAGTTAACGTTTACAATACGGATCAATGTTACTATAAGTAGCGTCGGCCGATATGGCCGACGCTACTTATAGTAACATTGACCGAGTGTCGACCAAGTGTCGGCCAAGTGTCGGTCAAATATCGACCGACTGTCTACCGATATGTCGACCGACTATCGGCCGACATATATCAGTCGACATATCGACCGACATGTCGACCGACTATTTTCCGACTATTTTCCGACTATCGACCGACTATCCACCCACTATCGACCGACTGTCGACCGACTATTGACCGACTGTCGACCGACTGTCGACATGTCGGTCGCCATGTTGGTCGCCATGTCGGCCGACACTACTTATTGTAGCATTGATCCCATTAATGCAGCATAAAATTTGTAAAATCTGCAAACAGCGCAGCGTAAAAAACGCAATGCCACCGGTTAAGATGGAAAATTCCTGAAAAATTCGCACCAAAGATAATGCGATCACTGCTGGACACCAGCGCCGAGGCCCGCGTGTTCGAGCTCGCAAGCGTGCGAGAGGTCCGCCAGGGTTCCAGCCGTGCCAGACCTCGAATACCTCCCCCCACTCTTTGGTTCGAATCTAGTAGCCATCGTCGCTCTTGCTGCAGTGCTAAGAGCCTACAAGCTTCATTTAGCCCAAACTTTTCTAAACTTTCCTTTCAAAAGCCCGTCCTGACGAGGCCGACAAACGCTGAAGGAAATAACTTTTTTAATTATTGTGTGTCCAGGTGGAGTTCATATTTCTACTCCAAGCTCACAGTTGAAGCGGCAGTAACGTCTCTGACAGTAATTATGTTCATAATCAGCGGGATATGAAATTTTCTAAACCACCAGAATCTTCCGGGCGAGACTGGATCTCAGACAACCTCGTTCCCAGGGTCTCTCATCTTCTCGCCCCCTTCTCCCCCTCCAGGGAGCGTGAAGATGAGAGACCCTGAGAACGAGGTTGGATCTCAGAGATTACACGGGAAGCCGAGCAGATGGAGTGAGAGTCATTTTGAACATTAATAAGATTTGGACCTGGAACCCTCTTTGAGTGCAGCAAGTGATATAAAAACACCACATTGGTTGGCTCGCGGTCTTATTTCGATGGAGAGGTCTTGTGGAAGCTATAAAGCTATTCGGTTTTATTAAAAACTGGATCATTGGATATGGATAATAGAATACAAGACTTATTATTGGCTTTGCCATTATGATATATGAGCCAATATACCATAATCTACAAATATGGTAAGCGCACGCGTCAGCTTAAAATTAAAAGGGAGCTAAACAATTTAATAAAATCTAATAATTTAAGGTGGCTAGTACTGGTTTCCTCGCGCGGGGAACAGGCCACTCTTGCGTCACGCGCGAGAGAAAGATGCGAAAGAAGCGCAGGATTAAAAGAAGAAAATTCAAAACAAAGATGGCGGCGCGAGGCTTTTTTTTCTACTTTTGTGAAAAGTTTACCTAACAGCGTGTATTTGATGTGATGAACGGCCTCTGCGTATGCAGGAGACAGAAACGAAGATAAAAAAGACGATTCTCGGAGACATAAGGTTGTTTCACATTTAAATGAAATATCAACCGATCTGAAATCTTGCGACGGCAAAAAAAGGAGAGCTCAAGTGAAGGATAATCTGCCTGAAGTGGAAGAAGAGTGTGAAGCTTCAAGGAAAATAATATAATATGGCCAGGAGTTGTGAGCAGGTCCTTTAAGATGAGCCCGGGAGGCTGTGTTTGACGGCTATTGAATGATTTTCTAACCAGCAAACGTCTGTAAACATCAGGTCGTAGGTGTTCGCGCGAACACACGCGAAAGTCAGCGGTAGCTATAACAGATCATGAGCAAATGTCGATCTTATAGAATCCAGATTTTTAAATGCGAGAACGCGCGTGGGAATTGCTAAACTCACGAAAACTATTGCATGAAAACAAGTCCGGTGACTCCTTCTTTTTATCGTTCCAATATGATAATAACTTTGAAAGGAATCGTCAGAAAAAAACAAAACAGAAAAATTTACGGAGGGATATTCGCGATGCGTGAAAATTGCCTTTTTCTAGATTTCCTGAAATTCCTCTCCGTAAGAATTTTTTTAAAATCTTTGTGCATTTTCCTTTAAAGTGCCGAAAGCAATCACTAAGAAAAATCACGAGGTCACCGGGTTAGTTTTCAAATTATTTGAGCCATAAGCTAAAAAATGCGTCTGAGTAATCCTTTGAAAGCATTGCCATGGAAACTGCTGTTGACGAAATGACACCTATTTTTGGATGACCAGTGATTATATAATTCAACCCTGTAAAAGTGTTCAACCGGCCTTGGTCAGTCTTTTTGTTGTATTTACAAACCATCAAAAAGATGAAAACTGGTTCCAGTCAGCTTAACATTCTTAATAAAACAATTATTCCACTCGCGCTAGCTTGTTGGATATGGATTATTATAGCCAAAGAGGCGCGTAGCGCGTAGCGCTTCGTTGGCTATCTATCATCTCATATCCAACGCGCACTCGTGGAATAATTGTTAAATACTCTAACATTCGTCGTTAGTGCGCTTCACTGATCATCACTCTTTTTTTCCTCAGCAGATTTCATCAAAATGTTCTAATGGACTAATATCTGATCACCCGTTGATGTTTTCTCGACACCGTTTTGGCAGATCCACCTAGCGTCTGTGATCCAAATGTTGAAGTCGCATAATGTATGACCCGTCAAGAGAAGGGGGCGTAATATCAATTACGATTTTAATTTTCTTTCGGAGGGTGGCTGTACACTGACTACTTCTGACACGAATCTTGATTAATTATCCGATGATGCCGGAAATGGAGTCTTGACGAGTCATGTCAGCAGTGCTGATTGCTTGATAATCATTAGCAGAGGACTAATGTGACGTACTTTGCCACTTCATACTGTAATAATTTATATTCTAAACAAAATGATAGAGATATTCTGTAATGAGTTGACATAATTACCGTACTTCAGAAATTATTTGACGTTTTTTTTCCCGGTTACGACGAAATTCAAACTAGTTTTAAACATCCAACCTCATGGAATAATCAAAACACTGTGTACAGAGGTAAAAAAAAAATTTTGGCCTCATTCAGGCTGAGGTGAAAAACGTCTTCTTGTCACAAGCGGATCAAGGTAAACATAACAGCCATAGCACCGCTGCCATTGTAAAGCAGCGGGGTTTTAATTCCAGTCTAGTGACTTATGGATCGAAGAACCTTTGTCACAGAAGTCGCTCTTAAGCTCAAACGTACGAATTGAAATTTGGCAGCGTAATTGAGACAGTCACAATGCGCGCAAAAGTGCAGCCGGGAATGAAAAATCTCAGGGACACTGAAAATGCAGCTGAATACCCATGGTCCCCAATTTCTACGAGGAATTCCACGGCACAAGTAAACTCTTTCCTTAATGCATCGGCTCGCTAAAGATATAGTGAATGAACTCAGTTTTAAATAATGTATCTTTTCTATTCAGTTTTCAATGGAATTTATAGGTTGCGAGCATTCCCTCACAGTTTCGGCAAAGTCCGACGCGTGGGTAAAAAAAAAAAAATTTTTTTTAGCGCTGTGGGAATGCGTCTCACTCCCAGAGTTTCACCTTTTTTACACTTTTTTTTAAAATTTATTTACCCGCTCGACGAAATTGGCCGAAAAGCAGGAACTGCTTGTAGTCTATGAGCTTCAGCAAGTTTTCACTTTGGTAAAAATTCGGCACGCCTTTATGCGCGATGATTTAGTTTGCAAAACTAACAACACATAGAATACGCGGTTGAAAGGTCTCTTGTTATACTTTTTCTTTCTTCTATAACTTGATTGAGTACAAAGGAAATTCAAAATTTTTATGGAGGAATACTAAACAAAAAAAAGACCGAGAATGAGAACAAAAATAATAAATCACTATAGACCATTATAGGTATGGCCGCCTTTCGTTTGCCTCTAAATAGCTTTCTTCGTCACATTTACGTCACCAGCCACTTGCCCAACCGATGACTCTAGAAGAGTGTCTCAAGAGTTATATTAACCCAAAATATCCTTTCAGACGACACATTACACAACTAAGGAGAATCGTGTTTGGAAGGTCAGTGCACTTGGCGCTTGCCCATCATGATTTGGAAGAGTGCCTCAATAATTAATTAACCCGAGCCATCCTTTCAGA